CAACTTTGAGAAAAAACACTTAATTTTGGAGCTGTCCCTGTTGAAATTCGAGACGTCTATGCATATTCACTTTTTGCTATATACAGGTGGTTGAGCTCAACACCTCTCATAGAATATTCCCAAAATTAGGGTGTGTAGGGATTTCACTTAAGGACCAATGGAATGGTCTAAAATGGTCAACTCCGCCTACTCTCCTGAGTGGCGCAGTGGTCTAAGGCACTGCAACGCAGTGCTAACTGTGCCACTAGAGATCCTGGTTCGAATCCAGGCTCTGTCGCAGCCGGCCGCGACCGGGAGACTCATGGGCGGCGCACAATTGGCCCAGTGTCGTCCAGGGTAGGGGAGGGAATGGCCGGCAGGGATGTAGCTCAGTTGATAGAGCATGGCGTTTGCAACGCCAGGGTTGTGGGTTCGATTCCCACGGGGGGCCAGTATAAAAAAAAAAGAAAAAAAAAAAAGATGTATTCACTAACTGTAAGTCGCTCTGGATAAGAGCGTCTGCTAAATGACTAAAAATGTAAAAAAATGTAAATACTCGGGGCACGGGCCATGCAAAACGAACTTGCTCATTGTTTCCATGTAGCTGGAGAGATGGTAACGAAAGGTGGCGATGCCTCCAATTGGGTCCTTGCTATCTGGGATCCTTGGGACATCCCTACCCCCATTGAAGTTGACATGTTAAATGGTTAAGGGTTAGGTAGGGGTTATTTTGGGTATGGTAGGTCATTGTTAAACTGACTTCAAAACGTGGGTCTATGTGTGTAACAATCAAGATGTGTTTGCTCATGACCGGAGTCACGTGCACAAGGTGGAAGTACACCTGTTGTATTCGGTGCATCAGTGCATGTGACAAACAATATTTGATTTGATTTTATCTGACATGCACGCACTGAATGCAGTTTTGCACATGTGCCAGGTGGTCTCAAATTTCGAGCAGCTGAAGGACCAACCGCACAGCTAGACAACGGGTAGAGTAAGTTGTATTCAACATTCTGTCTTGTAAGGAAAATGTCCATGATTTTGCAGTGTTTTGTTTGACTGTATACCAATAATTGGTATCAAAGTCTCATTTATTAGGCAACTGGAGAGGATGAGGCCTTTAAGTCCGCTAACACTACACTCTTAGAAAAAAGGATTCCATAAGGGTTCTTCTGCTGTGTCCATAGGATAACCCTTTTTGGTTCCAGTTCGAGCCCTTTTTGGATCCAGGTAGAACCCTCTGTGGAAAGGGTTCTACATGGAACCAAACGGGTTCTACCTGGAACCAAACGGGTTCTACCTGGAACCAAAAAGGGTTAATTAATGGGTTCTCCTATGGGGACAGCTAAAGAAACCTTTTAGGTTCCAGATAGCATATTTATTTTCTGAGAGTGTACTGACTACTGCTATGGTAAGTAGTTATTTGTCCATAAAAAGATTGCATGAGCTCCATCATCACTGTACAGTCGTGGTCAAAGGTTTTGAGAATGACACAAATACTAATTTTCACAAAGTCTGCTGCCTCAGATTTGATGATGGCAATTTGCATATACTCCAGAATGTCATGAAGAGTGATCAGATGAATTGCAATTAATTGCAAAGTCCCTCTTTGCCATGAAAATGAACTTAATCCCCAAAAAACTTTTCCACTGCATTTCAGCCCTGCCACAAAAGGACCAGCTGCCATCATGTCAGTGATTCTCTCGTTAACACAGGTGAGAGTGTTGACGAGGACAAGGCTGGAGATCACTCTGTCATGCTGATTGAGTTAGAATAACAGACTGGAAGCTTTAAAAGGAGGGTGGTGCTTGAAATCATTGTTCTTCCTCTGTTAACCATGGTTACCTGCAAGGAAACACGTGCCGTCATCATTGCTTTGCACAAAAAGGGCTTCACAGGCAAGGATATTGCTGCTAGTAAGATTGCACCTAAATCAACCATTTATCGGATCATCAAGAACTTCAAGGAGAGAGGTTTAATTGTTGTGAAGAAGGCGTCAGGGCGCCCAAGAAAGTCCAGCAAGTGCCAGGACCGTCTCCTAAAGTTGATTCAGCTGTGGGATCGGGGCACCACCAGTGCAGAGCTTGCTCAGGAATGGCAGCAGGCAGGTGTGAGTGCATCTGCACGCACAGTGAGGCGAAGACTTTTGGAGGATGGCCTGGTGTCAAGAAGGGCAGCAAAGAAGCCACTTCTCTCCAGGAAAAACATCAGGGACAGGCTGGTATTCTGAAAAAGGTACAGGGATTGGACTGCTGAGGACTGGGGTAAAGTCATTTTCTCTGATGAATCCCCTTTCCGATTGTTTAGGGCATCCGGAAAACACCTTGTCCGGAGAAGACAAGGTGAGCGCTACCATCAGTCCTGTGTCATGCCAACAGTAAAGCATCCTGAGACCATTCATGTGTGGGGTTGCTTCTCAGCCAAGGGAGTGGGCTCACTCACAATTTTGCCTAAGAACAAAGCCATGAATAAAGAATGGTACCAACACATCCTCCGAGAGCAACTTCACCCAACCATCCAAGAACAGTTTGGTGACGACCAATGCCTTTTCCAGCATGATGGAGCACCTTGCCTTAAGGCAAAAGTGATAACTAAGTGGCTCGGGGAACAAAAAATCGAAATGTTGGGTCCATGGCCAGGAAACTCCCCAGACCTTAATCCCATTGAGAACTTGAGATCCTCAAGAGGCGGGTGGACAAACAAAAACCCACAAATTCTGACAAACTCCAAGAATTGATTATGCAAGAATGGGCTGCCATCAGTCAGGATGTGGCCCAGAAGTTAATTGACAGCATGCCGGATTGCAGAGGTCTTGAAAAAGAAGGGTCAACACTGCAAATATTGACTCTTTGCATAAACATAATGTAATTGTCAATAAAAGCCTTTGACACTTATGGAATGCTTGTAATTATACTTCAGTATACCATAGTAACATCTGACAAAAATATCTCATAACTCTGAAGCAGCAAACTTTGTGAAGACCAATACTTGTGTCATTCTCAAAACGTTTGACCACGACTGTACGTGCCTGCTGTCTGTTGCCTTCTAAGGAAAGAACTGAGAGGTTACAAGGAAGACATAAATACAGCAAAATCAACAACAAGTATCCGTGGCAACCTGAGAAAGATAGACATGACCCAATGCAGTCATAAGATGAGGTAAGATAAGGGTGTTGGGCGTTGTAAGTGTACCACACACACAAGCATCAGGAGTCCAAATTCAGTGTCCTCTTTTAATGATGGAATCAAAACCTATTTCCAAACAATAAATGTCTGGGGTTGGGTATGGGCAGAATTCTAGATGATAGAAAATCATTACTCCTCTGCTTTTGAGAGAATGTGGCTGAATTCTGAACCCGAAGGGAAGTAGTTTTGTATAAAAGTGCGTAATTTCCCCTGGTACTTCTTTGAGCAACGCTATTTCTCTATACATCCTGTGGTGCTGGATCGTCTCTGTGGCGTCATGGCCCAGCATCATGAGAGGGATGCACTAGACTGCACTGCTCTCCCTCATTCTGTTAGTGACACAGCCTATAGCAGGCTACCAGAGTACCAGGGAAAGTTAACTACACACAAGGGTTACTCAAAATGGACAAAATACCATTTACTTTTCCCTGTCTCATTGTCCTTTTGGGTAAGCTGCCTCTCTGCCTTTCTCAGTTTTTGCGACATTTACAGTATGTTTACATTTTAGTCATTTAGCAGACGCTCTTATCCAGGGCGACTTACAGGAGCCATGTTGATGTGCCCTTGTGCAAGAGCACATCGACCTAGTCGGCTCGGTGATTAGAACCAGCGACCTTTCGGTTACTGGCCAAAAGCAATTTTTTATCTTTAAAAAATATATTTATTTTATTTTATTTTGGGGGGCTGGCCAAATGCTCTTAACCACTAGGTTACTTGTTGAATTTGATCTAGTATAACGTTACTTTGATGTACTTCGCTTGTTTTTGTTTAGTTAAGATCAAGTCATTGATTATTTGGTGCAGGTTATTATACAAATACAAGATTGTTTTCTCAACTGGTTTTGTCAATTCATTTTATCTGCCAAAAAGCTGCAGATGTAATCAATGCTCTATCTATGCAATGGATTCTTCTCTATATATTCTAAACAGTGTTGGGGAAGCTACTCTGAAATCATAGTTTACCAAACTACCAATTACTTTACATTGGAAAAAGATAAGCTACACTAAAGCATACTATGCTGACCTTTTTAACAAGGAGCATGTGTGCGCCTAAGTTGAAAAATGCAGGCGCACACAAATATATTTAGGAGCACAATGAAAAATATCTGAGATATTACATCCTTCATTTTTCTATTCCAGGTCGCACAGCAAAATATTTAGGCGCATATACGAGTAAAATGGTCGCACTGTAGAGCCCTGCCTTAAGGGAAGTATAGTTTACTTAACTAAAGCTACTTTAAAAAAGTAGTTCACTACATCCAAGCTACTTTGTGAAAATGATCATATCTAAATCTCAGTGGAGGCTGGTGGGAGGAGCTATAGGAGGACGGGCTCGTTGTAATGGCTGGAATGGAATTAATGGAACAGTACCAAACACATGGAATCCACATGTTTGACTCCGTTCCATGATTCCATTCCAGCCATTACAATGAGCCCGTCCTCCTATAGCTCCCCCCACCAGCCTCCTCTGCTAAATCTGAAATGCCATAGACCAGGGTTTCCCAAACTCTGATACCGAAAAAAGGCAAGGAAATGATTTCCTACATCACCCATACTTTCTTTTCTTATTGCAAAAAAAGTAGTGTGTAGTTCCAGTAGTTAGCTACACCGTTACATGGCAACAAAGTTATTATCTACTGAAAACACTACCCAGATTAGAATTCAGTTCAACTACCACCAAGCTACTGCAAAATGTAGTTCAATTACTAGTTGAGCTACATGTAATTCACTACTCCCCAACACTGAATCTAAACTATACCCATGTCTTTTTCCAGGTCTCGTCATGACTTCTACCACCACAGCCCAGACACAGCCAGTCAATCCCACTGTACCCCAGCCCACCTCAGCCTCCAACCCAGCCATCGACACAGCCACTCCAGGAGACAACACCACTCCAGGAGACAACACCACTCCAGGAGACAACACCACTGCTGTAGACAACTATGATTTACCATTTTCCACCATAACCCCAAGCTCAGGCGTTCCTGATCTAACTTTTGATAACATCCCTATAATCAATTCCACCGGGAGGCCTAACGCCACGGAAACCACAACACTGAAGACCAGTCCAGGTATGTTGGAGGTGCTGCTTTCACTTTATGGTCAGTTTATGGTCAATGGTCGGTACCAGAGATGGAGTCTCGATCTCGTTGTCTTGGGGATTGAGACCAGTCGATAAATACAGTCTCGGTCTCGAGGGGTCTAAGTCTTGACTCCATCTCTGATTGATGCTAATTTCCTACCTGCTTTGGTGGAGGTAAAGTAACAAATCATTTTTCTCAAGATGGATCTCCAGGAGCCACATCCTGGACCTCACCACCGGACGTCTCTACGAAAAAGCCCCCAGCAGAGGCCAGCAGCACAGCTGCTAGCACTTCTGCTACTAGCACCACCAAGGATACAAGTGAGTTGATCTCACCAGAGTTAAGTGAATTCATTGTGAAGTGAATCCATTGTGAAGTGAATCTATTGTGAAGTGAATCTATTGTGAAGTGAATCCATTGTGAAGTGAATCCACTGTGAAGTGAATCCACTGTGAAGTGAATCCACTGTGAAGTGAATCCACTTAGAAATGATTCCATCAGTACACAACTTGTATGTTCTCTTTATTTAAAAGGTTTGGCGGGAACTACTCAACCAAAACCCCCTGCGGGAAAAACGTCCAACCGCATTGGTAACATGATTGCATTTAAAAATGTCTCAAACATGCCCAACGATGTGTGTTCTGACACCAAATCTGAATTGGTTAACCATTTGTCAGAGTAACCAACATTATAAATAACATGAACATTTAGGTCATTTAGTCATCGTATTCAGAGTGACTTACATGGCCTTTATCTTGTTGCTCAAAAATGGATTGTTTTCTGTTTCTTAATAGGATTGATCATCCTGTTTGTGATCATCATCACTGCCTTTGTGCTTGGAGCAGCATGCTTATTGACAAAGAAGAGGTCAAGGGTGAGTAATGTATATGCTGTTTGTCAAATTCAATTCCAATGTGATTTGATCAATTCTAACATTGTCTAACAAAGCTTCAACTTGGCTTTGTACAAACACCAAACGCTAGCGTTCAACTATGTCTGTCGATGCCTGTATGCTTTCTAGCCCATTGAAGTGTGTGTGTGTGTGTGTTGTACCCTGTTGTGTTTCCAGAGGTACTCCGTAGATCTCCGAGACAGGCATGAGGATCTGCCTCTGAGTACTGCGGAACATGACGCCGTGTTTGACAACTCCTCAACACAGAAGGGTGACAACATAGAATTACATCACATATTTATAGAATAAAACATGTATTATATATCTGTATGGAGGAGGATACACTCTACATTAATTTACACTATCATTATCAATGATCCTCTACTACACATTAATAGTGTTAGGGAAATTTAGACTTTGTAGAAACACCAAAACACTAATGTTACTGTAACTGTAAACCCAAATCAGATTTAATTCGTCACATGCTTCGTAAACAACAGGTGTGGACTAACAGTGAAATCCTTCCTAACAATACAGAGAGAAAAAAAAAAACTGTACCACCATAGCATTTAAAATAAATAAGTAATAATGAGCATCTAGCTAATGCTACTGCACATTAACTCGTGGTCAAACTGATAATACATGTTTGACTGTAGTAGTAACCATGACTAATGCATGTTGTCTTTGATCACTTCTCCAGGGATGGACACCTTTACCGCCGTGGGTCTCAACAGCACCGAGGTCCTGGTTAAGGGAAGTGAGGGAGGAAGAGGTGAGACTGATGAAGTAATGGACAAGTGCTCTGAAGTGAGAGAGGGCGCTAGACACGGGAGGTGGAGGGTGGGGTGGGGGTTAAAGGAAGGGGAAAGTAGACACGGGGAGATGGGGAGATGGGGGGGTAAAGGAGGGGAGATCGACACAGGGAGATGGGGGGGTAAAGGAGTGGGAAAAAGACACAGGGAGATGGGGGGGGGTAATGGAGGGGAAGATAGACACAGGGAGATAGACACAGGGAGATGGGGGGTAAAGGAGGGGGAGATAGACGTGGGGGGAAGGAGGGGGAGATATACACAGGGAGATGGGGGGTAAAGGAGGGGGAGATATACACAGGGAGATGGGGGGTAAAGGAGGGGGGAGATAGACGTGGGGTGGAAGGAGGGGGAGATGGGGGTAAAGGAGGGGGAGATAGACACAGGGAGATGGGGGATAAAGGAGGGGGAGATAGACACAGGGAGATGGGGGGTAAAGGAGGGGGAGATAGACGTGGGGGGAAGGAGGGGGAGATATACACAGGGAGATGGGGGGGTAAAGGAGGGGGAAGATATACACAGGGAGATGGGGGGGTAAAGGAGGGGGAGATAGAGTGGGGGGGAAGGAGGGAGATATACACAGGGAGATGGGGGTAAAGGAGGGGAGATAAACACAGGGAGATGGGGGGTAAAGGAGGGGGAGATAGACGTGGGGGGAAGGGGGAGATATTTCACAGGGAGATGGGGGTAAAGGAGGGGGAGATATACCCAGGGAGATGGGGGTAAAGGAGGGGGAGATAGACCCCAGGGGATGGGGGGTTAAAGGAGGGGGAAAATAGACGTGGGGGGAAGGAGGGGGAGATATACACAGGGAGATGGGGGTAAAGGAGGGGGAGATATACACAGGGAGATGGGGGTAAAGGAGGGGGAGATAGACACAGGGAGAGGGGGGGGAAAGGAGGGGGAGATAGACGGGGGGGAAGGAGGGGGAGAATACACGGGAGAGGGGGTTTAAAGGGGGGGGAATTGGGAGGGGGGGGGGGGGGAAAAAAACACAGGGAGATGGGGGGGTAAAGGAATGGAATATAGACACAGTGAGGTGGAGAAGGGGGGGGGGGGGGGTAAAGGAGAGGGAGACAGACACAAGAGCATCTTCCTCAGGTAAGTAAGTAGCCTTGCATGAGTCTTGGCTTGGGTGAGCCGGAATGGCTCATAGGAGCAGGATCTCCTGTTTCCGTAGCGTGAGGCACCCCTTTCCTCAGGTACTCAGTCATTATGATGTGACTGAAGTGGCTAGTAGAAAAATACATGTACTGTCCTCTCATTGGGTCAGTTTGCTGGGCCTATGACAGTGTGCCCCCAAAAGAGGCACAATTCTCAATAGTTTTAGTTTTTATCTGAGTTATTGCACAGTGATCTGTCAAGTGTGATGTATTGTTTGGTTACTGGAATGGGTTTTGTGTTCAGAGTGGATTTCCTCTTTTGCAACAGCCGTTAAAGAGAAGAGAGAAGGAAGTCGATGTGTGTTAACTATACTGTACATTCATAGTTATCTACATTTTAAAATGACCAGAGTCCCAGCTGAAATAATAAAATGTTCAACTTCATTTTAAAACGTAATGTTATCTTGTGTGGCAGGTGTGTGGGGATAATGCGATAACACTGCTCTTGCCGGCTCTTGCTCATATCACTGTTTTTATTCAAGTTGATGCTTGAATAAAAACAGTGATAAGAGCACTGTGTGAGGTTTAGAGTCCCTAAGAGCTTGCAGTTACGGTCACGACCGAAATGATTGGCACCCTTGATAAAGATGAGCAAAAAAGACTGTGTCAAATAAATAATGCAAATACTGAGCTGTATTGTATGGGAACATTATATTACTAATACAATTGCTCAAAGAAAAATATTTTGTTTAACAAGTAATAAAACGAATCTAAAAAAAGATGGTATCAAAATGATTAGCATCCCTAATGATTCTTATAAATAAAATCAAACAAAATTGAATCAGCTTTAACATTGTAGTAAAAAAAATAATAATCTAAGCTTAAAGGGGAACTCTATTCAAAAACTATATTTGAGTGTTTTTTCATTAGTCCACTGTTGATACAGTCCCAAAATGTTTTGCATGTCAGCAGTCAAGTTTTCAAGATATTGGCCTTTCAATAAGAATAATGATTTTTTTTTTTGGGGGGGGGGGGGGGGGGGGGGTGCTCATATTTGTCCTGTTACACACAAATGTGTAATGGAAATGTGTTTTTTTGCATATCACAACTCCCCCTGATGACACAAAAAGCATAATTTAAGGAACTGTATTGTGGCTTTTCATGGCTTCCTGTTTCACTGGGGTTCAAAAAGGTAACACGCATGTAAAATCCATTTGTCCTCCATCACCATGGGGAAAAGCAAAAAAACTAACAAATATACTGCTTACCACTTTTAAGGCAACAATTACAAAGTATAAAACAGTGGTAAACATGCCTGGTAGAGGACCCAAGTGTATGTTGTCCCCAATCACAGTGAGGAAGATGGTTCGGGAGGCAAAGTAAAGACCAAGGGTCATAGTTGGAGAATTACAGAACTTGGTCGCATCCTGGGGTCACCAAGACACCAAATCTACAAATAGACGCCACCTCCATGCCAATAGGAGCCTTTATAAAAACACCTTTATTGATCAACCAACAAATGTAAACGCCTGGTGTTTGCTAAACAGCATTGGCACTTGGATTGGAACCGGGTGCTATGATCAAATTCGACAAAAATAGAGCTCTTTGGTCATGCACACCAGTGATGGGTTTGGCGTTTGAAAGAAGGATGCATATGCAGAAAAAAACCCTCATACATACTAAGATATGGTGGTGGATCTTTGATGTTGTGGGGCTGCTGGTCCTGGGGCCCTTGGTAAGGTCAATGGCATCACGAACTCTACCAAGTTACAGAACATCTTCGTCAAAAACCTGGTTGCTTCTGCCAGGAGGCTGAAACTTGGCCGCAAGTGGATCTTCTGGCAAGAAAATGACCCCAAGCACACATCAAAATCCACAAAGAAATGGTTAATTGACCACAAAACGAAACATTTGCTGTAGCCATCTCATCTCCGGACTTTTGACAGCTATCCTTTTTATTTATTACCTGTTAAACAAAATATTTTTTTTGTGAGCAATTGTATTAATATAAAATAATATAATTTCCCAAAAACGTTGAGCATACAATATAGCTCAGTATAATGTATTTATTTGATACAGTCTTTTTGCTCATCTTTATCAAGGGTGCCAATCATTTTGGTTGTGATTATAGATAAGAGCTTCCCCACTGGGCAAAAACTGGTTGAATCAACATTGTTTCCAGGTGGAAAAACTGTTAGAATCAACTTGGAAAACTGATTTGATTAGAAAGAAGTCATAAATGTAAGGGATTTTTTATTTAATTTTTTTAACCTTTTTAGCCTAAATCCAATGAGATGGTGACATTTTTTGTCATGTTGAATGCCCGTTAGTTAACAACTCAACCAAATGTACTGTAAATCAAACTAGATGTTGAACTGCCCAGTGGGTCAGCTCTCATTGCCCACTCCTTTGCGACACCATGGTCACCATTCATAACACATTTGATTTGTAAAATGTTTTCTCACGCCCCAGGCAAACTCTGCCAGGTGTCAGATCATACATAGGAAATACTTTGAATAACCAGAGCCGCATGACTCGTGGAGGTTGATATGCGATAATAGACTGTATGACACGTGTGTGTGTGACTTCAGTCTGATCTCGTGTGATAACCTCCATATAAGGAGTAGACTGACGTCGATGCAGCAGACCTGGGTTCAAACAGTATCAGATTTCTTGCCAACGCGTTAAGCGTTTGACTGAGCCTTTCTGGAGTGTCAGATAGGAAGGGTTTACGCATTTGGGACTATTACAAAACGTCAAATGATTAGCATGAAGTTGCCCATGCATTCCAGTGCGCTCAATATTTTGAATGTAATACTAGAGACACTAGAAAATGGAATGTCCCATCTTGCTCCATTGAGTGACAGCACCCAACCTACTCTGTGGTGAGGTGCAGTACTAACGTCCGCCACTGGATGGAAACAAAAGCCTAGAGAATGAACAGGAGAGTAAAAATCACAGAGCAAGTTGTTCATTGGCTTTGATGGATATGTAACTACAGCTTCTATTGTATAGGCTACCCTTGATATGTTCTTGTGTTATAAGACATTACCTTTTATACTTCGGTATATTATTCTCAGTGATTTAAACAGAAGACGTTTCAAAATAGTGACACGTTTTGTGTCAGAAAATCCACAGCTCAGCCTCCCGAGTGGTGCAGTGGTCTAAGGCACTGCATCGCAGTGCTAGCTGTGCCACTAGAGATCCTGGTTCGAGTCCAGGCTCTGTCGCAGCCGACCGGGAGACCCGTGGGGCGGCGTACAATTGGCCCAGCGTCGTCCAGGTTATGGGAGGGTTTGGCGGGAAGGGATGTTCTTGTCCTATCGCGCACTTGCGACTCCTGTGGCTGGCCGGACGCAGTGCACGCTGACACGGTCGCCAGGTGTTTCCTCCGACACATTGGTGCGGCTGGCTTCCGGGTTAAGCGGGCATTGTGTCAAGAAGCAGTGCAGCTTGGCTGGGTTCTGATGACGCACGACTTTCGACCATCGCCTCTCAGTACGGGAGTTGCAGCGATGGGACAAGACTGTAACTACCAATTAGATACCACGAAAAAGTGGTAAAAAATAAATACAATCAGAAAATCCCACAGCTCTAATATGCTGCTCAGCTGGCTGTGGGTGAGCGTATCTATTTCAAGAGTGCTATCTTGTCAAACAAGTGTATCGTCCTCAACTCCATCTTATCTGCAAAGTAAACATGTTAATGTACTAAATAGGGCTCTCACCTGACCTTTTTTTGAAAATCTAGGCGCACGCCCGCAAGACCATTTAGGAGCACAATTAAAAATATTTGAGATATTAAAGCTAGAATCCTACATTTTTCTAGGTGCACTGGTGTTCCTAAATTAAAATTCCAGATCGCACAGGAAAATATTTAGCCAAATGTGCGAGTAAAATGGTCTCACTGTTGAGCCCTGCTAAATAATCCTGGATGTCAGGCCTCAGACACCTGTGTAATAAAACACACATTGTGAAATAATGAAAACATCAACAGTTCTAGTGGGAGAAGGGAACGTCATGTAGCATTAGCTGTTTAATTATTCTCAATCTGTGATAGTCCTTCCTTTGACATTTCATTCAGGTTGAAAGTGATTGGAATGGGTCTTCCCAGGCTTTGTGACTGTCATGTCTGAGCTTGTATTTCTTTCTCTCTCTGCCCTGGGCCATACTTTGTGGAATTGGTCAGTTTTGATTGCAGCATTTAAAAGTAACTACCCTTCAAATAGTTTTATCCTCTCCTTTTTCAAAATCATCAACTCAAGACGTTGCATTGACAAAATGATGGCTTCTCAGACAGACAGCTAAACTGGTAATAGGATTCTACAGGTGCACATCATTTTTGACTGCTGTTTTGATACACCTCAGTGGCAACAGACATCTACTACTTTTTCAGCTCTTCCGGCCACAACCTTTCAACTTGACTATTTTCTGTGCTCTTTCCAGAAGAGATTAAGTCAAACAAATAAAACTATGGTCTGGGGAGGTGTGAATTCCACTGTTGTAACAGCATACTGCTACCCCATGACTTAAAGTCAGTCTGTTAAAAATGATAAGACAACTGTCACTAGTACTGGGTTTGAGATGGACAAAATGGAAAGACTCTTCATGTGAATGAAGCAGAGTAATGAGAACTCCATTAGAATGAAGTACGCACACACACACACCAAACGCGCTCAAACACAAAGGCCCACAGCCACACACTTACACATGGTCTCTATTACCTCTGTGGTCTTTATGGGTCAGTGCCAAGATGCTTGCAGTGCAGTCAGTCTCCTTTACTAGAGGTGTGGAGAGAAAGCCCTTTTTAAATATCTGGGTTGTTGTTGGTCCTCTGTTTATGTATTTGTGTTCCTTTTTGTGGTTTGGCTTGACCAAAATGTCCTACATGTCCGTCAGCTGATCGATTTGGTCGACTTCGACTTTGTAGTATTGTTTCTCAGTACCATGATGTAAGGGTTAGATTATGTTTTTGTAAATACGTACTTGGTTTGATGTTGTAAGAAATCAAATCAAATCAAATTGTATTTGTCACATGCGCCGAATACAACAGGTGTAGACCTTACAGTGAAATGCTTACTTACAAGCCCTTAACCAAAAACCCTAACATTATCATTCATCCTAGCTAGCACGCAGAGATCAATGCCCTGGCCGCACTAATTAGTCAGCTACTCTCAACTTGTACCTCTGCCAGCCGCTCTCTCCTTCTTAGCTTTGGCTCCAGCTGTGAGGGATGTCCTGACCTGAAACATAACCTTAATCTCTACCAACTGCTCCGGCGACCGACCATGACACTTTCTTTTCTCAATTATTGAGTCTGGTCCCAGAGACTGATTAGCCCTCATCAAGGTTAATTACAGATCTCACTCTCCATTCCCACATTCCCTTGGACAGTAAAATAGCGTGTTGGCTTTGAGTGAGTCAGGGGGGCCTGGGAGAAACTGAACTAATGATGGGGATTAGCGTTAGCAACCAGACACTGAGTGGTGCGGTGGGGGGCTGACCGTCAGAGAGACACACACACACACACACAGCTTTGTTTTCATGCATTTTCAGGACATTTTGGGGAGTAAAAATGTATTCCCTATTTTCCTAAACCTAACCTTAACCCCAAACTCTAAACCTAACCTTTAAGCCAAAAATAGCATTTAACAAATTCAGGACATGAAAAAAGTCCTGATTTTTCAAAATGTGTCTTGTTTACCTACCTTGTCAGCACATTCTGATGACTTGTCAGCACATTCTGATGACTTGTCAGGACATTGTGATGACTTGTCAGGACATTGTGATGACTTGTCAGGACATTGTGGTCCTGATAAGGTAGGAAAACGTGTACACACACACACAGTAGCCAGAGGTAGCAATAGTGGTTAACAGATAGCGGTTTACAGATATGTCCTGTCCAGAACAGCAGTGGTGTTACCCCCCCACCCAAGCCTCCTAGCCTACTTGCCCCCTCAGCCCCCCCATCACCTTGGGTAAGATAATAATGAGGCGGCCATACTTTCCCACAGCTCTTAACCAGCTGTGTGGCGCTGCTCTCCCAGCCAGGCCTGGTCAGTAATCAGGACCTCATTAGGCGACCAACCAGAGGCCTGGCTCTGGCCTGGATCAGCTGGTTTAGTAGAGGAGAAATCCCCCAACAGTCAAATTGGGCAGAAAACAGTCTTGTAGGAACAGAAAGAGAAACACTGCAGGGCAGGAAACTCAGATAGGAAATGCTGTCATTATAGTAATGCTTAGGGGTAATGACAAAGCACAGTGTTGCAGAGCAAGGTAAATATGCCTTTCTTAGGTGGGAATTGGGTGAAAATGGGGGCGGCAGGTAGCTTAGTGGTTAAGAGCGTTGTGCCAGTATCCGAAAGGTCGCTGGTTCTAATCCCCGAGCCGACTAGGTGAAAAATCTGCTGATGTGCCCTTGAGCAAGGCACTTAACCCTAATTGCTCCTGTAAGTCTCTCTGGATAAGAGCGTCTGCTAAATGACTCATAATAATAATAAATAAAATGTGTTAACTACAGGTATATGCAATTGTGTGGTGTTGAAATGTGCTGTGTCAAGCTATTCTGACATATTGTGTGTATAATTTGACTGGATTTGTTTACCTAGGCTGCAATTCTTGTACAATATATACATTACACATCTTTTTGCCCAAAAATCATGTGATGAATCATCTGAATGCCTAACTGAGCATGGATGGACTTGATATCTTCCAATATGTTAGACACTGACATGATTAGCTCTGTACTCCCTCCGCAGCAGATAGTGAGAAAAGCTCTGACCACCCTCCACCTGCCAGCCCTGTGGACAAACCTGATGCTGTGGCCCCTGGAGATGTGGCCGCTGGGGCCCCTGGAGTTGTGGCCGCTGGGGCCCCTGGAGTTGTGGCCCCTGAGGCCCCAGTGGGGGAGACTGACGACGAGAACACTGTCTCCAACAAGACCTCAGTGGAGTCAGTGGAGGCCAACGAGAACAACAACAACAACAACACCATCACCACAGCCAGGATCGCTACAACAACACCAAGAGGTTGGTATAGTTCAATATCTGCTACAACCTCTCCATCCTCTGTGTGTGTCGTTCTGACGGGTTGGGATAAAAGAGAAGTCACATTTCCGTTGAACATTTCTATACATCTTCTTCTAACGTCATGGTATCTATGGCTATTGATGTCATGTTGTTCCTCGCCGTTCATAAAAAGTGGGCTAAACAAACCACACCTCTCTTGGCTTCTTTGCGTCGTTTGAAAATACAACGAGACAGATTGGTTTATCCACTTCCTCTTTCTCTGTAATTGACTCAGGGATACAATGTTGAACAGAAGTGTTCTACTATATCTTGAACATGCCTCCCCTGGGGAGAATGTAATTAACACAGGATGGTGATAGCTCCACAGCTCCCAGACTATGTCCATATCTTAGGGCGAAGAATTCTTCTATAATTGTGTGGTGAAGACTGAACCAACAACTCAACAGGACATTTAGTTCAAGCTGTCGTTGTCTAAAGCAAAAGACAGTCAATAGTTGTGGCGTTCCTCATAGCAGTGGAAAATAGGTTCATGCACACTTGGGACGCTTGAGTGAGTTTTAAATGTCTTGTGAAAAGCATCACTACATGGTCAAGCCATTGCAAGTGACAGGCAATGGTTAGCAGCAGATGTGTGTATTTGACCTTTCCCCTTTACTAAGAGATGTCCTAGAGCTCAATCCGAGACAGAACTCCAGTTGGCCTTTCAGTCTTTCAGAGGTCCAAAAATGCATGGAATGTTTGTAAACTGTGGCTATACGGTCACTCGTAAGGATGACTATAGGACACATATTCCATTGTTTAGTCCCACTACTATTGGATGGTTCTACAGTATATGATTCAGAACACATGTTCTACCCATCACATCACATCGGTATTGAATGTTCTACTTTGGCAGGGATGAATGTTCTACTTTGGCAGGGATCCTGACTTTAGGTCTGCTGCCATTACTCAAATATTTTCTGGAATGTATGAGTGCAGGGATACAAGTATCTTATATCAGCATGCATCCTTTTGTAACCATGGTGAAATGTAGCTATAGGTCTAGGGTTAACACTCCCCATGTTCATCACTTCATCTATGTCCTGTCTCCTCATTATGTTGTTTCTCTTCTCTCTCTCTCTCTCTCTCTCTCTCTCTCTCTCTCTCTCTCTCTCTCTCTCTCTCTCTCTCTCTCTCTCTCTCTCTCTCTCTCTCTCTCTCTCTCTCTCTCTCTCTCTCTCTCTCTCTCGTCTCTCACTCTCACTCTATCTCACTCTTACTCTCACACACACACACTGTCTCAGGATGGGCCATTACCAGCAGCTTCTCTGAGGTTCCTCTGGACAACCCAGCCTAAAAGAGATCCTCCTTTATCTGCAGCCCCTTCACAACCACGGTAAGCCCACATCGGACCCCCAGTTAGCCCCCAACAGACCCTCAGACAGCCCCCATCGGACCCCCACCGTAACCCCTAGATCCCCAATCACTCCCCAACCTCCCCCCTGCAGCTGCTGAACCACTTCCCCAGCTCAGGTGTTAGTAAACGGATCAGCCCCGGCCAGGTCAGCAGGCCGCAAACGACTTTTGCTGGAAGTGCCAGAAGTGTTACTGAACCGGTCTCCCTGAATGAACATTGCAGTATAAATAGGACGTCATAACCACCAATCTACCGGTACTGCTGGTTATTAACATGTCATTATCTATCTGCATTAGATTATGGGTTCCCATCTTCGTAAATCTTCTTGACGAGGCTAATCCACATTGATTTATATATATATTCCTTGAAGGGATGTTTGTGGTTGTCGATGCATCTGGACTCAATTCTCCATTGACAGTCATAAGATATTGCAGCATATATATAAGTTTAATTACTTGTGTAGGGAGGATTTATATAGGCTCCTGGTTGAGTGAGGGGGACATATGTAGGCGTATTTGTTATACCTCTGCAATTTTCTAACTTAGTTATTGGACAGATGTCATTTAGCCTCTACAAGAACAAGTCGTACTGTTAGATGGAAACGACCACAACTTGCGCATCAAATATCTTCCACAATCTACCAAACAGCTCCCAACCATCTAAAATATCTCCTTGCCCACTTGCCGCAAAACAATGCATTTCCGATTTCCACTCATACTCTCTCATATACCTTTTCTGCTCATACCTCTGTTTCTTATCTCATTTCGATCAGGCATTCTAGATAGATTCCTCAGACAGACCCCAGCAGTTTGGGTCCTCTCAGTCAGTCAGACAGGAAGTTATAAATATAGCCCACTGCACCTGTGTTCCTCTTCTCTCTGAAGCCTGCCGCCAGTGTAGTGCTGCAGCCTAGGGCCTGGACCTTGAAGACCTGAGGAATCCACCCCGCTCTTAACAGACGATGATAGGCCCAGATCTTAGGCCCTGCCGCCGAGACGCATCGTGTTAACAGTCACGGATCGTGTCCCTTATCACAAAAAAGCAGTCCCCCAGAAATCCCTGGCATCTCAGGTCCATCTTGGGTTGTCAATCCCTCACTTGTTCGCACCCCTCTCGTCCGTCCTCCCCCCTTTCTCTATCGCTCTGTCAGTAGTTTTGCTTGGCATGCTTTTTTGTGTGACCCTTAAGATGACCTGTAGTGTTGACATTTCCTCATACTGTATAGTAGAATCACATAATGTAGAAATATGTCTAGTGACCATCCCTTATAAAACTACATTTACAGCAGAATGAATTAGGTCTTATAAAACTACATTTACAGCAGAATTAATTAGCTCTTACAAAACTACATTTACAGCATCATGAATTAGCTCTTATAAAACTACATTTACCACAGCATCATGAATTAGGTCTTATAAAACTGTATTTACAGCATCATGAATTAGGTCTTACAAAACTGCATTTACAGCATCATGAATTATGTCTTACAAAACTACATTTACAACTAGCCGGTGCCCCCGCACATTGACTCTGCAACGGTACCCCCCTGTATATATAGCCTCCCTACTGTCACTTTATTTTACTTCTGCTCTTTTTTTTTTCTCAACACTTTTATTTTTATTTTTATTTTTTATTTTTTACTTTTTTTGTTTAAAATAAATGCACTGTTGGTTAAGGGCTGTAAGTAAGCATTTCACTGTAATGTCTGCACCTGTTGTATTCGGCGCATGTGACCAATAAAATTTGATTTGATTTGAATTAGCTCTTATAAAACTACATTTACCACAGAATGAATTAGGTCTTATAAAACTGAATTGATAGAATAATGAATTAGGTTATGTAGGAGAGTGCAGTTAGAAGTGAAGGCTACTGCCTAGCACCCCTGACAAACCTGTCCTGTCTGGTATGAAGGAAAGGCTGGATCAGAGGGCTGGGGATTTGTAAGGCAGCCCGTTGCAGGTCAGTAGGAGGAGAGGAGAGACTGTGGACTAATGGATACATTTGAATGATTACTGTTTTTTATAATGCAGGTATGCATGTATACACTACGTATGTACACAAATATGCACAGTGTAACCATAGTCATTCTTAAAGATGACTGACGTGTCTCCAATCTCCATCTTTAAGGTGGGTGAAAACATCAGAGAAATTCTTGCTAGCTTCAAATAAGGTGGCTATGCTGTGGCTGTGTATGTAATTACAATCGTCGTCTTCAGACCGCCATAATTAGTTCATTAGAGGATTGGATACTTGGTGTCAGTAGCTGAGTGTAGATGCGGTGAGGAATCAAGCGCAGGAAACACAGGCGTTCGTCAACAGACTTTAGTAACAAAAATAACAGCACCAAACAGGCGAACAGCCAACCCAACCGGGAGGCAAAATACAAAGTACGCACAACAGACACAGTGCGTAAAAATGACGATAGCGCACACAGTACGGACTCTCGGACAAACAACAATCCTGAGAGTAATATCAAAGAGCAACAGCTTGACAAATAAACAATACCACATAACACCTGCCCCCACACACGAAAACTAAATAGGCAACCAAATCAAACACTAACAAGGGACAGGTGTACAAACAGACAAAACCAAACAAACATGAAACATCGAACGGTGGCAGCTAGTACTCTGGGGACGACGACCGCCGAAGCCTGCCCGAACAAGGAGGAGGAGCAGCCTCGGCCGAAACCGTGACAGTACCCCCCCCTTGACGCCGATCCCGGCCTCGGGGACGACCAGGACGACGCGGAGCAGGGCGCGTAGGATGACCCCGATGGAACTCGGTCAGCAGGGACAGGTCTAATATGTCCCTCCTCGGCACCCAGCACTGCTCCTCCGGGCCGTACCCCTCCCACTCCACGAGATATTGGAGACCCCCCATCCGGCGTCTCGAATCAAGGATGGACCTCACAGTGTACGCCGGAGCCCCCTCGATGTCCAACGGGGGCGGAGGAGTCTCTTCTATCTCATAGTCCTGGAGTGGACCAGCTACCACCGGCCTGAGGAGAGACACATGGAACGAGGGGTTAATATTCCTGTAATCAATAGGCAGTTCTAACCTGTAACACACCTCGTTCAACCTCCTCAGGACTTTGAATGGCACCACAAACCGCCGACCCAGCTTCCGGCAGGGCAGGCGGAGGGGCAGGTTTCTGGTCGAGAGCCAGACTCGATCTCCAGGTGCGTATACAGGCCCCTCACTGCGGTGGAGATCGGCGCTCGTCTTATGCCGACAGATGGCCCGCTGCAGATGAACGTGGGCAGCGTTCCATGTCTCCTCCGAGCGCCGCACCCACTCATCCACCGCAGGGGCCTCGATCTGGCTCTCGTGCCAAGGTGCCAGAACCGGCTGGTACCCTAACACACACTGGAAAGGGGTTAGTTGGGTGGAGGAGTGGCGGAGAGAGTTCTGCGCCATCTCGGCCCACGGAACGTATCTCGCCCACTCCTCCGGCCGGCCCTGGCAATAAGACCTCAGAAACCTACCCACATCCTGGTTGACACATTCAACCTGCCCATTACTCTCCGGGTGGTAACCCGAGGTAAGGCTCACCGAAACCCCCAACCGTTCCATAAACGCTCTCCACACTCTGGAGGTGAACTGGGGGCCTCGATCAGACACTATATCCTCGGGTACCCCGTAATGCCGGAAGACATGGGTAAACAGAGCCTCAGCGGTCTGTAGGGCAGTAGGGAGACCCGGCATGGGAAGGAGACGACAGGCCTTCGAGAACCGATCCACAACGACCAGGATGGTAGTATTCCCCTGTGAGGGGGGAAGGTCTGTAACAAAGTCCACCGAGAGGTGGGACCAGGGTCGTTGTGGAACGGGCAGGGGTTGTAGCTTACCCCTGGGCAAATGTCTGGGCGCCTTACACTGGGCACACACCGAACAGGAGGAGACATAAACCCTCACATCCCTGGCTAACGTTGGCCACCAGTACTTAGTGCTAAGGCAGTGAACTGTCCGGCCGATACCTGGATGTCCAGAGGAGGGGGACGTATGAGCCCAATAAATGAGGCGATCGCGTACCTCGAGCGGAACGTACGTCCGACCCACTGGACACTGTGGAGGACTTGGGTCGGTGCGTAACGCCCGCTCGATCTCTGCATCGACCTCCCATACCACCGGTGCCACCAGACAAGACTTTGGTAGTATGGGAGTGGGCTCAACGGACCTCTCCTCCGTGTCATACCGCTGAGACAGGGCATCTGCCTTCCCGTTCTGGGACCCAGGGATGTAAGTGATTTTAAACACAAACCGGGCTAGAAACATAGTCCAGCGGGCCTGGCGAGGATTCAGTCTCCTAGCTGCCCGGATGTATTCCAGGTTACGGTGGTCAGTCAAAATGAGGAAAGGGTGTTGAGCCCCCTCAAGCCAATGCCTCCACACCTTTAGGGCCTGTACCACGGCTAACAGCTCCCTGTCCCCTACGTCATAATTCCGCTCCGCCGGACTGAGTTTCTTAGAATAAAAAGCACAGGGGCGGAGTTTAGGTGGTGTGCCAGACCGTTGTGAGAGGACGGCCCCAATACCGGCCTCGGACGCGTCTACCTCTACCTGGAATGGTAAAGCGGGATCCGGATGCGCCAACACCGGCGCCGAGGTAAACAGGTCCTTCAGTCTCCCAAAAGCCCTGTCCGCCTCAGCTGACCACCGCAAGCGCACCGGACCCCCCTTCAACAGAGACGTTATGGGAGCTGCCACCTGTCCAAAACCCCGGATAAACCTCCGATAGTAATTCGCAAAACCCAAGAACTGTTGCACCTCTTTCACAGTGGTTGGGGTTTGCCAATTACGCACAGCTGACACCCGGTCAACCTCCATCTTCACCCCTGACGCAGACAACTGATAACCCAAAAAGGAGACCGACTTCTGAAAGAACAGACATTTCTCTGCCTTGACATGTAGGTCATGCTCCAACAGCCTCCTCAACACTCGGCGCACCAGGGCTACATGCTCTGCTCGGGTAGAACTGTACACCAGAATATCGTCGATGTACACGACTACTCCCTGCCCCTGCATGTCCCGGAAAATCTCATCGACGAAGGATTGGAAGACTGAGGGAGCATTCATTAACCCATATGGCATGACGAGATACTCGTAATGACCGGAGGTCGTGCTAAACGCTGTCTTCCATTCATCGCCCTCTCTAATGCGCACCAAGTTATATGCGCTCCTGAGATCCAATTTTGTGAAGAACTGAGCACTGTGTAATGATTCCGTCATAGTCGCAATCAGAGGAAGTGGATAGCTGTACTTCACCGTAATCTGATTGAGACCGCGGTAATCAATACACGGGCGCAGACCTCCATCCTTTTTCTTCACAAAAAAGAAGCTCGAGGAAGCGGGTGAAGTGGAGGCCCGTATGTATCCCTGTCTCAGAGACTCGGCGATGTAAGTTTCCATCGCCTTCCTCTCCTCTTGAGACAAGGGATACACATGGCTTCGCGGGAGGGCTGCTCCTAACTGGAGATCTATCGCACAATCCCCCTGTCTATGAGGCGGCAGCTGCGCCGCCCTAGTCTTACTAAACACCAGTGTCAAATCCTCATACTCGGGGGGAATGTACAGTGCAGGCATTAGATTCGGACTTTCCACCGAGGTCGCCCCTATGGAAACACCCAGACACAGCCCCTCACACTGAGCAGACCACCCTTTAAGAGCTTTCTCTCGCCACGAAATAGTAGGATCATGGGTAATCAACCAGGGAAGCCCCAGCACCACCGGATACGCAGGAGAGTCAATCAGATAGAGCTGAATCGTCTCCTCATGACCCCCCTGCGCCTCCATCTTAAGGGGCGCTGTGACCTCCCTAATCAACCCAGATCCTAACGGACGGCTATCTAGGGCATGTACAGGGAAAGGCTTATCAACGGGAAGGAGAGGAATCCCTAATTCTACACAGAACTGGCGATCTACAAAGTTCCCAGCTGCGCCTGAATCGACTAGCGCCTTATGCTGGGAACGAGGTGCTACCTGTGGAAAACAAACAGGCAAGGTTATGTGAACGACAGAAAGCTCTGGGTAAGTAGGGCGCCTACTCACCTGGGAGGACTCCCCAATGCGTGGCCTGCATTCACCTCCACCGGGGGACCTTCCCCAACACCTAGCCGCGGTGTGCCCTCCACGGCCACAGTTGGTGCAGGGGACGGCCCCCCTCGGGTTCCTACTCCTCCTTTCTCTAGCGCCAGCACCTCCGAGCTCCATAGGGCTCGGCTCGGAGGTGCTGGAGGGTGAAATGGGCGACCCCCATCCGGGACGCCCACGGGTGGCGAGCAGGGTGTCCAACCGAATGGCCATGTCGACTAGTTGGTCAAACGTCAACATGGTATCCCTGCACGCCAACTCTCTTTGGACGTCCTCCCGGAGGCTACAACGGAAGTGGTCTATGAGGGCCCGCTCATTCCACCCTGCATCTGCCGCTAGAGTCCGGAACTCCAGGGCAAAATCCTGTGCGCTCCTCATCCCCTGTCGGAGGAAGAACAGACGCTCCCCCGCCGCCTTCCCTTCTGGTGGATGGTCGAACACGGCCCGGAAGCGGCGGGAGAACTCCGCATAAGTGATGGTAGCGGCGTCCATTCTCCTCCATTCGGCGTTGGCCCACTCCAACGCCTTGCCGGCGAGACAGGAGATGAGGGCGGAGACGCTCTCGTGTCCCAAGGGCACCGGGTGTACGGTGGCGAGGTAGAGCTCCACCTGTAGCAGGAACCCTTGACACCCGGCAGCGGAGCCATCGTACGCCCTCGGGAGCGAGAGCCGAATCCCACTGGGTTCCGGAATGTGGACAGGAGGACTGACCGATGGGGATGGTCCGGTAGGTGGGGGCGTGGGTACCCCGCTGCTTTCCCATCGGTGGAGAGTGTTCATCACCCGATCCAAGGCGTGCCCGATCTGGTTAATCCGGTCCTCCTGTCCACGAAGACGGTCCTCCATGACCTCTGTCGGCGCGGGTGCTCCTGCTGACTCCATGGTCGGATGTGGTATTCTGTCAGTAGCTGAGTGTAGATGCGGTGAGGAATCAAGCGCAGGAAACACGGGCGTTCGTCAACAGACTTTAGTAACAAAAATAACAGCACCAAACAGGCAAACAGCCAACCCAACCGGGAGGCAAAATACAAAGTACGCACAACAGACACAGTGCGTAAAAATGACGATAGCGCACACAGTGCGGACTCTCGGACAAACAACAATCCTGAGAGTAATATCAAAGAGCAACAGCTTGACAAATAAACAATACCACATAACACCTGCCCCCACACACGAAAACTAAATAGGCAACCAAATCAAACACTAACAAGGGACAGGTGTACAAACAGACAAAACCAAACAAACATGAAACATCGAACGGTGGCAGCTAGTACTCCAGGGACGACGACCGCCGAAGCCTGCCCGAACAAGGAGGAGGAGCAGCCTCGGCCGAAACCGTGACACTTGGTCCAGACAGAGCCACTCTCTGAAGAAATGACTACCTTGGTCCAGAGTCTTTTACAGTACAGGAGGCCCCATACCACCTACATTACATGTATATTTACGTCATTTAGCAGACGCTCTTATCCAGAGCAACTTACAGTTAGTGCATACATTATTCTTTTTTATTTTCATACTGGCCCCCCGTGGGAATCGAACCCACAACCCTGGCATTGCAAACGCCATGCTCTACCAACTGAGCTACCTCCCTGCCGGCCATTCCCTCCCCTACCCTGGACGACGCTGGGCCAATTGTGCGCCGCCCCATTGGTCTCCCGGTTGCGGCCGGCTACAGCAGAGCCTGGATTCAAACCAGGATCTCTAGTGGCACAGCTAGCACTGCGATGCAATGCCTTAGACCACTGCGCCACTCGGGAGGTTGGATCCATTTGACACGTGATTTATTTACAGATGTATTTAACAGGATCGTTGGAGACAGAGTAGACCATGTAGATGGAGAATAACTAACCATAGATAATATATGATGACGTTAATAATCCTACATGTGTAATGTAGCAAAATACAAGTGTTAAAATGACATGTTTTATGCTAGTTTCTATTTACCTATGTCACAATCATTTATAATCACATATACACACCGTGTAACATTATAGTTCCTGGAGATTGTGCTACGTAATTGCTCCTATACCATTGCCTTCCAGAACTTTTGTATGACTTACACAAACAGTGAGAGCTGAGTCTACCAGGGCTACCTTCTAGCTGCAGGTTATTGATATGGTGTAGAGTTTCACACTGGGGGAGTGATATTTGATCACGGTAACTACAGCAACATTATTTATATTTCAGCATAGGAAAGCAAGTATTCCCATTGATAGGCTTGGTAGGTACACTCTTAGAAAAAAGGGTTCCAAAAGGGTTCTTCGGCTGTCCCCATAGGAGCACCCTATTTGGTTTTAGGTAGAACCCTTTTGGGTTCCATGTAAGGTTTTACATGGAACACAAAAGGATTATACCTGGAACCAAAAAGGGTTCTTCAAAGGGTTCTCCTATGGCACGTGTCAAACTCATTCCACGGAGGGCCGAGTGTCTGCGGGTTTTCACTTCTCCCTTGTCCTTGATTGATGAATTAAGGTAACTGATTAGTAAGTAACTCCCCTCACCTGGTTGTCTAGGTCTTAACTGAAAGGAAAAACCAAAAACCAGCAGACACTAGGCCCTCTGTGGAATGAGTTTGACACCCCTGTCCTATGGGGACAGCCAAAGAACCCTTTTAGGTTCTAGATAGCACCTTGTTTTCTAAGACGATAGCCTATTATTCTCACTGTTGAATTGTAGTTATTAACTCTTTATTCTAAATACAGTGGAAAAGAGGATCGATAATAAAGTAGATTCAGCTGTGGATTTCACATTCAGCATGAGGAAAAAAGGCCCTTCTTGGAAGGCAAGGTCGGCCTTGCTCATACACAATAAGAAAAGCTGTCTATTCTGTGCTTTACATACAGAGAAAACAGACTGAATCGACCTTGTAAAAAAGGAGCCAAGAAAGAAAGAGAAAAGCTAGAAACAACCACTCCTTTCTTCCTTCCACCTGGTTTAGGTAGTGATGAGCAAGCTGAAGTTGAAAGGCCTCTTGCCTCCCCCATCCAGGGGAGATAATGGATATGACCTGACAGCTCATAAAACAGCATAATTAGCTGGTTAGGCCGGCTGTGTTATTTTCCAATCAGGGGTTTTCTTTCATGTCCGTCAGCCCACGTTGGAGGAAAACATTTCCACTGCTGTCGGGGGGAACGGGGGTTATCATAAATTTGACTCTGGAATAGCCCGCCGGTCCAAAGAGAGGGGAGAGAATGTGGACAAGCCTAGCTAGTAATTAGTGTGGGCTATTTTATTGGCCGATAGGGGCTTTCGTTCGATGTGATTGGACACACAGGTTCAAAGACAGGGCAAGGCTGTGTAGAGACTCAGAGGTCAAGGGTCAGATTATGTTATCTCATTGTGCTTAGATATATTTGTCATTCATCTACCCCAAAATAAATCATTTTCTTGTTTATGTAGTGGCATTGCTGTCCCCAGTAATAAAAAAGAAACCAGATCTCCATTTTGGGGTTTGAGACTACCATTTTGGACGTCCCAATGGATCTATGGCAGGATAACAGTGGCTGGGTGTGAGAGGGGGCCTGGGCTCAGTAATAACAGTGGCTGGGTGTGAGAGGGGGCCTGGGCTCAGTAATAACAGTGGCTGGGTGTGAGAGGGGGCCTGGGCTCAGTAATAACAGTGGCTGGGTGTGAGAGGGGGCCTGGGCTCAGTAATAACAGTGGCGAAGGTGTGAGAGGGGGCCTGGGCTCAGTAATAACAGTGGCGTAGGTGTGAGAGCGGGCCTGGGCTCAGTAATAACAGTGGCTGGGTGTGAGAGGGGGCCTGGGCTCAGTAATAACAGTGGCGTAGGTGTGAGAGCGGGCCTGGGCTCAGTAATAACAGTGGCGTAGGTGTGAGAGCGGGCCTGGGCTCAGTAATAACAGTGGCTGGGTGTGAGAGGGGGCCTGGGCTCAGTAATAACAGTGGCTGGGTGTGAGAGGGGGCCTGGGCTCAGTAATAACAGTGGCTGGGTGTGAGAGGGGGCCTGGGCTCAGTAATAACAGTGGCTGGGTGTGAGAGGGGGGCTGGGCTCAGTAATAACAGTGGCTGGGTGTGAGAGGGGTGCTGTGCTCAGTAATAACAGTGGCGTAGGTGTGAGAGGGGGGCTCAGTAATAACAGTGGCTGGGTGTGAGAGGGGGCCTGGGCTCAGTAATAACAGTGGCTGGGTGTGAGAGGGGGCCTGGGTTCAGTAATAACAGTGGCTGGGTGTGAGAGGGGGCCTGGGCTCAGTAATAACAGTGGCTGGGTGCTGCTGGGTGGTGTTTCCTGCATGTATGGGTTTTGATGTAGTGATTGGGATGACAGGGCTCTGTCATGTCACCTGTCTGGGTTTATGGTTTATCACAGGGAGGGATTGGTGGAAAGGTATACACACACACACACACACACACACACACACACACACACACACACACACACACACACACACACACACACACACACACACACACACACACACACACAACCAGGACAGAAACAGCTGGTGTCAGCAGATCTAAAATCTGCCTCTTGTGTCCTGCGCAACACAACAATGTTAGCCCACTGAGCTAAAAGCCTAAGCATTCGCTTGGGGAGCTAACATAAGTCTTCAGGACTCAGGAAGTTACTCATTAGACAAGTTTGATTCCCCAAACCATCTCCATTACATAAGCAGTGTACCCTCCGCCCTGGCTCACCAACTGAGTTAGACATTGTGCAGGGCTCCACACTGAGAATCATTAAACAATAGACCAATAATCTATTTTCAGCTCAGGTCGTGTAATATGACAACAGCTGCATTTATCTACAGACTGATATTTATAATGTTAGATTAGTATTATGTGGCTCACATAGCATGAGTAGTCCTCTACCCTGACAATTATTAGTTATTACAGTGTTTTAAATTAGATTAAAACACACACGTTTGTGTTGGTGGCTGACTGCTGTCTGTGACCGAAGTTTGAAGGTGGAGTCAGGTTTCAGTGTTGATAGTACTAACTGTCTGAGGGTCCCAAATGCCCTATGACAAAATGGCGTCTCTGGCGTCTAGCTTTTTAATGTGATACTGTTATATACAGGCTCTGGATGTTACTGTTAGCCACTGTTGTTCTGTCAAAATACATTTCTTTGATAATGAAATGTATGCATCTTGTTTGACATGATGTCAACTTTTAATCCCTAAATTCCATTACTGACTGAAAGACCACATAATGATAATGTTGATAGTCATTGTTTATCACACAACATTGTCAAACGACACCCCACATCTAATTTTGTAAACACATTACCCTAAACATTGCATACACCCCTTCTTTAATCCCTTGTGCCCTACTTCTTTAAAGCAGCCCCACACAGAAGGTCTTGAATTTCCTCCCTGTCTCCTTGTTTCTACCCAGCCAGTGTGTTGAGAGATGCAGAGTAAAGGTTCCCTTTGATGCTCAGATAAAGAGTTAGAAGGTCTTCAGACGCCCTATGCTGGCTGGGCTCAGCACGCACGCGCGCACACACACTGGCCTGGGTCCCCTCCTACATTGAAGTCAGTGGAGGCTGCTGAGGGGAGGACGGCTCATAATATGGCTGGAATTGAGTCATTGGAATGTTATAAACCACATGGAAACCACATGTTTGATACCATTCCTTTGACTCCATTCCAGACATTATTTTGAGCCGTCCTCCCCTCAGCAGCCTCCACTGGTTGAATTTGCTGTGCTACATCCATCACAGATGGTGGATTTCTCTGTAAATCCTCACGCCTTCTTTGTTTACCTCTATTTGTACTGCTAACCCAGGCTGGATTGTAACGGGATAGGTCTAGCAGTGGAGCTATTGACATATACATGTATATTCCACGTGGGAGTATATTCACTTCTGGTTGGTAGGCAGAAACAGAAGCACTTCCTACAACCGCAACCCAGCTGTCTTTTCCTTTTGGCTTTTTATAAAGCGACGAGGTCGTGTACTTCGGACAATCTAAATGTGTTTAGAACGCAAGAGGTGAATTTACAAGAGGGTCACTTACATGTGTTAATTAATCCATTATAAACATTCACCCGAGGCTTCCTGTTAGCTTTGCATCTGTCGTGACCTTGTCGTAGCCTTTTTCCCTTTTCCTGTTTCTTTTATTCTTTTATTTTTACAAACACTCAGTTAAAACATTAGTATATTTAGCCATGACTATATTTAAACGTTAGTATGCAGCCCTATCTCACAGTACAGTACACAGCTACTGGTGTGGGTGGAATGTAGCTAATGTAGCTGGCTAGCTGCTCGCTATGGAAAAACTTTATCACTTCCTGTGGCAGAGGTCAGAGCAACCTGGGTGTCAAATTCAACTCGTGAAAAATCCAATAACTGAGTGAGAAATACATTTACTAGTTCAACCAGTTGATTTAGTGGCAGTTGTTTGCTATAACGACCTTAAGTATACAAGTTAATCAATGACAAAATTGAGATAACCCTTAGCTAGTTTAGATACCATTTGGCTCGTTGACTATTCTGGATCTCCACCATTGTTCACCCCACGACAACCTTCATTTGTAGCCTGTGCTAGAGGACAAGGCTAGTTGAAACCTAGATTGCTTTCCAAACAATTTAGAGGCAGCTTGTTTTGAAAGCAAGCCCCATTATGCGGTCATGGCTTGCCTTTATAGAAGACGCCGAAACCTTGACAAATGGGGTCAAGGCAACAGATGCTTGAGAGCTATCTATAACCAATAAGGAACTCCAACCTCTCTCTCTCTCTCTCCCATAGTCATATAGTCGCCTAAAATATAGCCTCTTGTTGCTATCAAACTCTTGTTGCGTAGTAAGCTGATTAGCCTTGTTCATTAGCTTTCTGTAGGATACAAGGGAGTATAATTGAGACATTGATTTGTGTATGTATTGCTAGCCCTGATCCCTGTTATTTTTACACACTATACCGTGCCTCTTTATGAAAGGAAGTATCTCTCCTTTATGTGACCTGAAACCATGCGACAACCCATTAGTCATATCGGCAGTGCGTTTACCACTGCTATCTGGTCCAGAGATCAGATCTCGTTTGTGTAATACCACACACACATCTCACGTGTTCACTTCCTGAACTTGTCTCCACATCACAAAACCGCTAGGTGGGGTCGGTCTAACTTCCTGCTTGGGTTCCTTGACCTTCAGTGACCCTTCGCGGTGGGAGCTAAGTGAAAAGGTCAGAGGTCAGCGGAACCTAATTAAAGGGTATACACTGACCACAAGGAGGAGAGTGCTGTACTCCCTGTGTCCTAGGAGACACACCCACATTCTTTAGTGGTCACTGAGACGGGTCCATGCAGAGGTTGAGGTAGAGGGAATTGTCCTCAAGGAACATCTAGACCTGCACACACTTAAAGCTGCAATATGTAACTTTTTGGGCGACCCGACCAAATTCACATAGAAATGTGTCATTCTCAAGTCTAAGAAGCGGTAGATCTGTTCTAGGTGCGTTATTTCTATGCTTCCCGTTCTTACGTTTCAGTTTATTACACCAGCTTCAAACAGCAACATATTTTTGGTTAATTATAAGATATTTCACAGCGGTTTAAATGGTACAATGATTCTCTTGCTTGATTGGTCAGATAAACTGAAATTAGGCAAACTATTAGAATTTTAGCAACAAGGAAATGGCGGAGCGATTTCTGCATACTGCACCTATAAACATACAGATGCCACACACACACACACACCAGGTAAAGGAAGAGAATTCTTAAGAGCTTCCTTTTACAATTTCACTGTTCACCATACCCTCTACCTAGCCCATCTTTGATGGACGTCAGAGGACGGTGACCTCTGACCTTTTGAGTGTTTATGTTTTAGACTCTTCACAAGAGTTCCACCGTAGCGGTCACATTTGCCCTTCTTCTCTCTCTAGTATTCCCGCCATGCTATGCCAGCAGACAGCTGGTTGCCAAGTGCTGTGACACACACCGTTATCGACTTCGCTTTAGCCGCTACACGCTATGGAATAATAATAATAATAATACCTGTCTGTCAACAAAGGAAGCAGATGATAGAAAGGCAATGGCAATCAAATAATATGGCTATAGGTTTGATATGCTATACGGAAATGGTATTTACACCTTGGTAGCTTAGCTTGTCTAAATAGGGGTCCGTTGTTCAACACGGGCTTTCCAGATAGCATCTATCTTCGTTGCGGGTAGCAGCAGCCCTGGACATTGTGTGTGTGATCTGGTAGCGTGCTATGATGTGATGCCCACTTTGCCCAGACACTATTCCT